TTTCAATACCAGATACTATCATTAATTTGATATAAATTGTAGCAATTACTAATCTTTAAATTGCAAAATGTCTAAACGGTTTTTAACTTGTTATTATAAAATATTTGCTTTTTTTCGTATTATCTGTATTGCTTTAATTATAATTATCTTAATAATTACTGCTGGAATTGCGGGAATCGTGGTACGTTAAATGACTTTATTAGAATAACCTATGGCTCTTCTCACCTTTTACATTATCTTAGTTCCTTCCAATCGCCGGCGTACTTCTTATGATCGCTTGTATCAACTGTATCAGCCTCTTTGGAATCAAGGGTGGTATCTTAATCCTGAAATATTTCGGAATACTTCAAAATAGTAAGGATCTTGTGTAATATGATTATGATTATCTAATTATATAAATTGCTTATTTCCTATATTTTTTTATCTGCGAATATGTCGTCGAAAGCTCAACAAAAAATAGATCTTAACGATTTGGACCTTAATCGTATCTATACCTTTGAGGAATTCGAGTATATAAACGACCAGCTAAAATACCATACCTTTGAAATTAACGGACAACCTGTTAATCTTTTCGAACTTGACAAAAACGGAAAGCTAATACCTATGCCACAAGCAACTATTAATATGGAAGCTGTTGTCTTAGAAATTGGCAGGCAACTCGGTAATTGGAACATTCAAACTGGTCAGGGAGGTGTCGTCACTTCCTCCCAAGGAGGGTTCAATTTCCACGTTAGAGGTGGAAGAATGATCCGTGCCCCCGATGTATCCTTCACTTCGAAAAATGTATATCGTCATTTGACTCAACAACAACTCTGGACCTTCAAAGGTGAACCCTTTACACCAATGGTTGTTATTGAGGTTTCGGATACTATCAAGGATTCGGATACTAATAAAAAGAAGAAAGCATTTGATGATTTGGATGAAAAGTTTAAATTTGAATACTTTTCAGTGGGTACCTCAGTACAACTCGGTTGGCTGATCGACCCTAAAAATAAAGGAATTTGGATATATAAATTGAATAAAGAGGGAAAGGTTTTTCGCCGCAAACACGTCTGGGGGAGTATAAATGGAGGGGATTTATTACCAGGATTTACGTTGGATATTGATCTGATTGAAAAAGTTATTTCACAAGTATGTTCATCATTGTTCTTTTATATTTTTAATCACTTATAAATTCATATACTTTGATCTGCTATAGGAATCAACACCAACACCAACAGAGACATCCGAAAGTGAGGACGAATCACAAATGAAATGCTTTAAATGTGAAGAAACTTTTACTGATTATCACTCTTTCTCGAAACACTATGAAAAATATCATATACTTAAACTTTGATTATATAATAGGTAGAAGTTGCATGAATTATAGAAACTGTAGATTGTGTCATTGGTGATACAAATATAATTTTATATATGTATTATTCTTATATATCATATTTAGCATCAATCAAAAAATGTTATAATAAGTTAGTCTGCGCAATTGCAAAATTGTAATAACAAATATAATAAAGTATCAGACATCTCGCGCATCATATTCATTTATTTTTTATACATTTTAACTTCAACCGACTAGATAAAGTGAAGGGATATGGCATAAAGGAAGAAAGGCTTTAGAGTAGACGTAATTTATTCACCAATAAAATATATTGACTGGTTGTATACTGTAATATGTGTATCAGAAAAAAAATTATGTTATATTAATAAAGTGTCCCCGAAAGTCATTTACTTTTGTGAATTCCTAACCTTGAATCAGTAAAATTTCGATCTCATTTTTGATAGAGAACAATGTTCCCAATTTTATTGATAAAGTGATTAGTAAACCGCAAAAGCAATTGAAGTTTTAAGTTTACTCAATAAGACCCAATTCTCGAAGATGCTCTGGGATAACTATATATGGGTCTTCATAGTACCAAACATACCTTAAAACGATCCAGTTTTCTTCACACAATTCTTTCTTGTGTTGATCCCGTTCCTGTTGTTTAATAAAATTATTGGGATTTCCTCTGTGAAAGAATTCTATATAATGTTTATGTTGTTCACCTTGCACTTCAATCGCAAATCCATATTCTGGATAATAAATATCAAGATGTAAACCACTTGGATGTTCTGGAGTTTTGAGAAATTCAGGTTGACGTATCTTAGATGGGGGTCCAAGATATTTTGATACAATTTCTCGACATAAATTTTCACGTTTATATTTTGAGCAATAAGGACACCATGCATTTTGATTTTTTATTCTATTGAGAGGGGCGTACCATTCATGACCTTCAGCGCAATTCCATATTAAATCAGTTTCAAGATTTTTATATTCGATTGAAAGGCATTTCCCATTTCTACTATGTGCAATTTGTTTAGCAATTTCAAGAGTATGAGGAATTGAACCAGCACAATGTAGACACCATCGCCCAGCTCTTATGCTACTAAGTGTTGCATTCCATTTATATCCCATAACACATTGCCACTGCATTGGAGCATTAGAATTTTTATATTCGGTTGAAAGACACTTTCCATTTCTATCATGTGCTATTTGTTTAGCAATTTCAAGATTAAGGGGTTTTATGCGTCTGCAGCCCGGACACCATGAACCATGATTTTTTATTTTTATAAGATTGGCAATCCATTCATGTCCTTTATCACAGCGCCATAATAAAGGCGATCTATTATTAATATATTCTTCTGAGAGACATTCACCATTTTTGCTACGTGCCAATTCTTTAGCAACTGAAATATCAAGCCTGGTATCAGAGCAAGTCGAACACCATGTCTTGCCATTTTTTATACTGTGAAAGTTAGCAGTCCATTCATGTCCTTTTGCACATTTCCATCTTAATGGAGTATTACAATTAATATAATTATTAGAAAGACATTGGCCACCTCGACTTTTAGCAATTTTGCGAGCATCATATATTGAATATTTGATTTGGAATGGCATCAAGAATCAAAATATTTTTAAATAAAAAATTAGAACTTTAAATATGTGTGCTACGCAGTTAGCTGAGCATTATCAATTATTATGGGTGGTTCGAGAAGAGATGCGTCAAATTAACAATGTATAGACCGTGTCTGCAAAGCAATACATATATCTATTTATCTGATTAATATATCTATTTATTAATGTATAACTTATTCATATTTATATCTATTTTAAAATAAAATCATCTGGGGTATCCCTGAGGGGTGGTACTTTAGACTTTTATTTATTACTATTTCGTGATGATTAATAGTTATTTTTTCTCAATGTATATTTCATAATTTTCATAAAAGATTCCAATTTTTTCTGCATCATAAAATACGATATTAATTTCTCGATACTATATATCAGTTGCAAAGCAGTGACTTAAAGAGTCATGAAATTTAATAAAGCATATTCAGGTTTGATCAATAAATTGCCACCATCCTTAGTTAATGAAG